TTTTTTTTCGGAAAAATAGATTGGTTTTCAAGAAAATTGGGGCCAGAACGAGTAATGTTATAAAACGCCTCCGACTGCTATTATAGCCTGCCGAATTTTTCGAAATGTACTGTTTCAAATCCATCCTTTTGAGTCTTGAGATTTTTGGAAGTTCAATTTTTTTTAAAGGGTATTGTTAAAACTTTGCCTTCTCTTGAAAAGCTTTGCTAAAGCTACTTTGAAGTAATCCAGATGCATGAAAGACACATCCTTGAAACAAATTCAGTGCAGTTTATCAAGTTGGTCGCTAAAGGGAAGAGACATAGGGAACGGGCTGGCTGGCACATCAAGATCGGTGTCAGGAAGAGAGCTGGCACAAAAACGAATGCAGTCGGCGCAGAGCAGCTCCGATATAATAACATGGATCTTAAATTTGTTGTGCATTCACTGTTGATGATGATAACTAGCGAAGTGTTTCTGTCGCTGGGACAGATTTTCTATCAGTCGCTTGTCACCACAGCGGTTTAAGTGCCCGATAATGACTTGGCTAATAAATAACTTTATTTTACAACGACGATTCCGGCGATAAAGCAAACAATAGCTGCTCAACAATAGCTGCGAGTGGGGGGCTTCAGAAGGTCTTGAAACTTGCTTTTCTACGACAATATTCAAAATAATGCCTAAAGGCGTAAGCACTGTACCAAGAGGTTCAGAAAGCTGAGGCACAAAAGCTTACCTGGTCACCGTGCAACAATATCAGAGCATTTTTCAGCTCCGATGGTTTCTTTTCCATAATATGTGCTGGTACAGTTGTCATTGTCTGTGGTCCATTCTAAAAATTTTGTCATTTTCTTATAAACCGACAGCGCAAGAAAGAAATCGGCGTAGATTTCTACAACATTAATGCAGCGATACTCTCGCAGTTCTGAGTACCGCTTCTCATAATTCCTGAGGTTTCCATCTTCATCGGTCGATAGTACTAATGTAGACTTTAAGTATTTCTGTGTCCCTTCTTATGCTAACTTCAAATATTAACAAAATTACTTAAATTGAGCTTTACGTGCCAGCTTTGGCTTCACACTGCCCTGAAGTGGCGACCATCCACCTTTGCCTCACGGCATGCTCTAGACATTTCATAAGATGCGCGAAGAAAAGTATCTGTAGAAATCTGACCGCATTATTATAGCTGCATGAAATAGTTCCTTATACACTCAAGCTGTCCGATTGGCTAAAGGGCTGCGTGTTAACAGCGGGAATTGAAACTGCGTGGATACAAAGGTCAGACTTACGTAGTAGGAAGACAAAAGTGTACGTACCTGGAGTGCGATAATTTCGTGCACTGGATGCATAACTTTGAAATCCCAATCTCTCTTGAGGGTAAGGATAAGCCACAGAATAATCCACGCAAAGAGGTAGACAATGTCAATAACGATGCAGGATAATAATAACGGCTTCTCTTCATGCTAAAAAAATTATTGGAGAAAAGGTCTTCTTAAACATCATGCCTATCGGGGAACAATATCTAATTCTACACGAGTCTGAATATTAATTCACCAACCCGGACAACTGAAGAATGTGCAGATGGCTAATTTGAAAATGGGATAACACTTTTTTTTCACAACCCGGACAATTGAGGACTGTGCAGATGGCTAATCTGAAAATGGGATAATATCTTTTTATGCATTTTTGCATCTTTATGCAAATGCAAAAACGTATGCTGCCAAAGGAGTGTTGGTGATGTGTGTTTGTGTGACCGGATTTTTGCCGCCATCCAAATTCCACTCAGTAATCGCATTGGCTAGGAAGTGGAGTTTCACAAGAATGTTCTTAGCCCACGTGACATCCAAACAGCTTAAACAACACTTTTTTTTTGCTCTGTGCACTAAAATTCTCTGCCCACTTTTTATGAGAACTCCATTATCCGCTGGTCAAAAATGGTTCAGCTGTTCCCTTGATATTCGAATTATCCTCCCACACAATTTAAGAAACACCATCCAGACAGTTATTGGAATGTTTAGATCATATTTGATTATTTGAAGAATTAGACCTAATGAGCATCATTTTCTCAAGTGCTATATAAAGAGTACTTTAATAATTATCTGCAGCTATTACTAATACTGCTGCAAAAGCTATTAACGCTTTTGCTGTTACCGCTGCTGCTGTTAGCTAATAGCTGACACAGCCAGCAGTGGTCTGCAGCCATAGCTTTTAATTTTTTTTTTTTTTTTTTTGAGACGGGCAGCAACAAATGCAAACGCCTACGTTGCTGCCCTCACCTCTTGCATTGCCTCTTTTCACCCCTGAGTTTTGCCGATTCTTTCAAGCTCATGGTGCTTTAATTTGATATAGCACGACAAACCTACAAGTAATGGGTCCAGCTACATTCATAATGTCGTGCAAATAAACCATTTTCGAAAAATGCTTTTTAACAAAAAAAAAATTGGCCAACGCACGGGCTGCCCGTGCGAAGATGCGTTTTTTGCAGAGTTCCCTG